CAAGTTTCCATACATACGTTTGAAAAGGTAAACAACTACTTGTAACTAACTACAATATATTTACAGAAGTACTTATGTATTTTAACACAGCTGCGAACTACATTTGCTGTAACTGAATACTAGGGGTTTGTGCAACTTGCACTACCCAGTTATTACATTTAACTGACATTTGTTTGCAAAATCTTTGCCTAAAATAAAATCATCTGCAGAGCACACAAACAGGCTTCTTATGAGATAAAAAATAGTTCATCACGTGTCCATTGCATGCTCCCTTTTTTCAAGTACTTTCTAAAACAAAGTTCAATTCTTCTTCCTTCTGGTGCAGCACTGTCTACAGATGAGTCTTTCTAAAGCAAAAAATTTAAAAATTTAAAAATAATTACATTTTCCTTGCTCTTAGTTCTTCTATTTCAAAAAGCATTTCAGTGTAACTTGTAATATAGACATTTAGATAGATAATTTATTTTCTGACAAATTAGATAAATTAATTTCCCAAATATTCTCAGTCTCGTGTTTCCTCTCGTGATCACTGGGAATGGACTGGACTTAATACCAATTAGAACATGACTGATGTATGAGATTTAAAACCAATCCCAACGCTGATACTTGGTGATATCAAAAATCCAATATGTCGGGCATTTTTTTTTTCTTTTAGACACACAAACCATAAACAGATTTCCCCAACATTTGTTACATGTAATTTATGAGTCTTTACTAACACAATTCAATTTAAAAATAATCCTGTTTGATTGTCAGAACAGTTCATAGATTACTTGCTTACACTCTGCACGACTCTAATCAGATTAGCTGGCTGTTCTGTTTGTGGGGTTCCGAATACAAGTGTTGACAACTGGAAAGTTGCACACTGCTCTCTAGTGGAAAAGCTCAAAACTCAGAACACTACTTTTTAAAATTTTCATATTTCGGCTGTTATACAGTCCAATACTGACCTATTAGCAAATAGCTGATATCAACTCTAATTACAATATTAACTTATAACAGAATTGTTATTATAAATAAACAACATTATTATGAATTTTGTGAGCAAGTCGCAATGAATTTGGTGATCATTTCGTTGCAAAAAAGCACTAATTTTGAAATCACTGAAAATCACTGAAACCTGAAATACAGGTTGAAATTTACGTACATGCAGTCACTGTATTTTCCATAATCCAGGAGTAAACTTGAAATAAGGCGGTATTTACATTTATATGATTTTCCACTACAAAGTATTACATAAAGTATTTCAGCTGCGAGTTAGAGTAACACCTTCAATAAATGAGTAATTCAAATTCAAAATCTGACAGGCAAGTTAATATGTAATACTGTTATCTTTACATGTGGTCCAGCTGATGTGATCCATGGAGATACTTCCTCAATAATAAAAAAAATGTCATCCTACAGCCTGTTTATACCCTCAAGACTCCTTTTTCAGTCTCATTCCTGTGATGCTTAAATGATGCAGTCAAAGTTGCGTTTGCGGTGCTTCAGCATCAGCTAGCACTACAAAAGACGAGTGATCATGAATAGAATAATATTTGGCAGATAATTTAAAATACAACTTTTCAAACAGATCAACAAATATCAGCAAAATCCAGCTATTCTCTGTAGAGATGCACTGATCCAGGGTTATTGGTCCTGCCTGATGAACGGCAGGTAAGCAAGCCTCAAGTAAGACCAATTTTAAGCAAGTCCATTGCACAGTACAGCATTGCATTCTGCAGCCTGACTGACAAATCTCCTTCATGTCGTGTCTCCTGTGCTTGCCAAATTTATCATGTTTTGTTTTGATAACCATCACGTCCAACAGAAAAAACAGCACAAAGATACCCATAACTATGACCCTCATTCGGAAATAGACACCTGCACCGCAACGGGAAAAGGCGCACGAAAGTGGCAGGCAGATGAAGACAAAACGCGACATCATAATACTTTTACGTTTTGCAATCTACAAAGGTTTGCACTTTGACAAACAACTTGTGAGAACTGTGACTAATGTTCATGTGTGTGGGGAAAACAGTGTATAAAGTGTGTAGCGAGGGGCTAGTTATTCTGAGAACCCCTGCTGCAATAAATGAGGGACCACTGTATATACTTTCTCTATGATTATTGTATTCAACCTGTTAACATTTAATATTTTCTTGATAGAACCAACTTATTCTGCAGCAGAGCCATCCCCTGTTGCTTCTCCTGGCTCCCCAGTCCCTGGTCCCTGAGCTCCTGCTGCTGCACCCACAGGTATGTACAGCAAGCACTGATAACTTTTTACTCGGTGGCAGAACTTCCTCCCACATTCCTCCGACATTTCCGGTTCACACGCGATTGATTTGTGTTGGACACGCGTTGAAGTGCGAATGTGCACGCGTCAAATTAGGGCAGTCTGGCGCGTTTTTGTTCGCGTCAATCGCATTCAGTGTGCACACACCGTTACTGTGAGAAAATTTTTTAGGAAAAGTTTTCCTAATTAAACCATATGGGGAATGCCACAAAAGTATTCATAACAACAAATCTAACCAGACTCTTAAATTGACCTCACCCACATGAACATTGACATTTTAAAGAAGCTAAAAAAAGGAAAGTAGCTAAAGGTAAAGCTATCCAAAATCAGCAAGCAAGCTACAAGCCAGCAGCCTTGGTATAAGCAAATGTTCAAAGCAGTTATGAGAACAATTATGGAGACATAGAGACAAATCCTCTTATCTGGTGAAGTTATAAACATACTGAAAAATGATGTAACTGATACTTGTTTTGTTATAGAAATCTCCTGCACCTGCTTAAGTTTGGCGAGGTAAAATATGTCATATGGGGGTAAAGTAGGACTGGGCGATATATTGAGTTTTTTAAAAATATCGATACATTTTCATACGAGATATAAGATGTGACAATATCGTTTATATCGATATAGTATATGTTACGTTGTAATTATACTTGTGGAGCCGCAAGTTTGCCTCTCTTTCGTCCACTTTTGTCTCTATGCAACGTTACTGGGCCTCGCCTCTCCTTCACTGAACACAACTCCCCCTCCCCCATCGCTTCACCTGCAGGCAACGACAAGATGGACACAGCAAATCTCCGTTAACGAGTTACTGCGGACCGCCCCGTGCGTGGGGCTGTTCAGCGTCGACGTGTTAGCGAGCTAACCACACCAACAACATGCATGGCCTAAAATCCTTTCATTTTCTCAAAAATCGACAGTGTGCCTTATGTATGAATTCTGGTTGTGCTTACTGACCGCGAATCGATTTTATGTGGTACACGGCGCTCAGCAATCTATCAATAAATGTTTTGACTTTGGTAAGCTACGAAGCCGCATTGCTTAATGCATTGTCGAAGCATTATGGCTACCATAGTCAGGAACCTCGCGGAGTAATACGTACTGTGCTTCAACGTAATATTGCCGTATTGTGTGTGTATAAGGACCATAAATGGCACCTGTTAAGAGACACGGTTATGAAGCAGATTTCAAACTCAGGCTGTCAGTCACGCAGTAGAACTTGGGAACACAGCAGCTGTGAAATCTGTCTATGTTATTATGCTCAGCGTCTGTTAGTTTACATTTTGACCGCACAATTGTGAGCTTTTTGTTATGCACAAAAACAACATTGTTTTCTTTTATTTATGGAGCATTATTATTTAATAAATGCTGATAATTTATTTTTGAGTAATTTCTTCATGTACATCTACGCTGTATGTTAATAAAAGTGCCTGTGTGACATCTGGGACACAGCTTTGACTAAGAACTCTCTTTCTGTTCTTACCTTATGGCTTAAAAAAAAATATATCGAGATATTTATCGTATATCGCCATCCAGCTAAAAAATATCGAGATATGAATTTCGGGTCATATCGCCCAGCCCTAGGGTAAAGCAACTAATTTTCAGTAAATTTTCTATATTTCTTTCAAGTAACATACTGGTTTTTGTTTTGTATTGTAGTTTAATCATTTATGTTAGTATGAAAATAAGTTTATTTGTGCTTCTATAGGTTGTCAGTTATAATTGTTAGATAGAAAATTAGCAAAAATACGTATCAGTGGGTCACACTTTCAGAGAAATTAAATCAGTGTATCTCTAGTTCTGTGCAATATGCCACACATGATGTCTTAAAAGCAAAATTTTGCTGTGTAAAAATGCTGTACATATCAGGGAAAGAAAAATACCATTAAAGTGTGACACCCAAAAATGAAAAAAAAAATGTAAGAATGACAGGACGGGAGAGGAAGATAAGAGATTATTATCAAAGGAAATAATGGCTCTTTGTGACACAGATCAGCTGATCACAGCCTGTGCACAAAGAAAAATCTACTGGAACTAAAAACATACATTTTTACATCTGTCATTTGTAAGAGATTCCCTTTCCCATGCTCCACTGCACATCTCCTACACCTGCCAAATCCCACCTTAAACCCTAGGCTATACCACACTTCTGCTCATTTTAATACAATCACTTACACATATTTTATTATTCTAAAAAAATTAAGTTATGGGGGAAAGAACTTAATTTTGCAATGTAGTGATCCCAGCTGTAACACACAGCTATAGTGAACGGATTTTCATCTGCTCAGTGACTGTGATGCACCACTTCCACCAAATCCCAGATGAGAATATTACTGGAGTTGCATGACCATCTGTTTATGTTTAACAAGGAGACAGACCTCTCTGGGGTCTACAGTAGCTGACCAACATCACAAAGGAATTATTATATTAATTTTGCCTGTGGATGACTTTATTTTGAACATTTTGCTATGTCTGTAGTGGTCATGCCAAGTGACAAGAAAAACCTGTGTGGGGTGGAACCTGTGGTCCCAGACTCAATGATGAGCAAGTAAAGAGAAAGAAACAAAAGCAATTAACAAAAAAGCTGTTGTTCATTTAAAAAATACATGTAACAAAATTATTCAGAAAGGTTCTAGTGGTGTGTTCCTCTTGTTTTAAAAGGTAAAAAGTAAGGTAAGAAAAAAAATAGTAAAATAGACCCAGCTGATTGCAGATATGTACTTACCTACTCACGCTTTGATCATCAGTCATCAGTCATTCCGAAGTCAGTGTATTTCCCACGGTCCCACGTTTCAATTTCAGTGTTAGAAAAGAAACCGCTCGGCTGCTGGCGCTGTAAACACAAAAATTCCCGTGAAGCTGCTTCTACTTTCCTGAGCTGCGAAGGCGCTCTGAACCTCCACTGCCGAGCAGCAGCCTTAAGTCAGGGAAGCAGCCCAGTTTAACGAACGCGTTCAACCAACTCAAGTTCCGTTCACGACTTTCAAAATAAAAGATAAGAGGTTTTTTTTCCCCCTTTG